GAATTGTCAAAAATATGACAATCACACTCCCAATAAGGTCACCTCCCAAATAATGGAAGAAGCCAAATATGAGAGAAACAAAGGAACCTGGATGACAGATCTGAAATACCATTTGCGAGACATTAGAGGTCTGGAGACCCACCTCTGTGATATGATGAGGGTGGATCTATTCTTTAGGTTGGTGGCCTCTTTCATTTCTGCTGCCATTGACTCTTGTTGGCATTTGTGTAAAGGCAAGTTCCTCCTATTTAAAATTCACTGTGTTAATTGAGTAGAGTCTCCATAACAAGAAACAGTCTATCTCGGAGACACAGAGGACTCCTGCATTGCAGGTGAGGGTCTTAGCAACTTCTAACTCATCCTTCATGGAAAAAGAAATTGTGGAAGGTACCAAAGCAGAGAGGTACTTTCAAGTGATCCAGCAGAAACTCATCTTACATCTAACACAAATGTATCTGCTTCCTTTCTCATATACTGAAGCATCATATTAGTTTTGCCCCAGAAGTCTCCCCTGAGCAATCTGAACTGATTCCTTGGGCAACTGGCATTTCCACGACTGTTTCTGGGACAGGCTTTTCAACTCCTGATGTTGAAGACTCTCTTCTCAACCCTCCATATACTCTATGCTGATGTTTAAAGCAGAGGAGACACACGAGTACACTAAGAAGAGCAATGAACCACCGGCTATTTTGGTGGACCACCGGAAATGATCTGGCAAGTCCATGCATTATGTCCTGTCAGGAATGAAGCACACATTTATTTTTGCTGTCTCCAACAGATTTCATTTGTCTTGAGTTCTGCCATTTTGGGGAGAAATGTGAGCAATAAAATAAAATACATAAATAAATAAACCCACCTTGCCATGCAATTTTGTAGTTTACATGAAATTATTTACTTTTGCTTTACTATTCTAACTTATTGAGAGCTTGCTTAACCCATTCTTTAATTTACGCTGCAAATTGCCATGAACCCCAGTATTTGCAAAAATGGAGATCATTAATAAAAATAAAATAAAATTGATGCAAAACTTGTAGCCCAACCACATGTGATTGCTGGTTGTTGCATTTCTTGCAAGGAAGGCTGGACGAAGTAGCCAATGCTCTGAGCCAAAAAATATCTGTGAGGCACTCAAATCAAAAGATAATTTGGAGCCCCTGCCTACTGTGCCAATTCATACAGTATTTTATGCAGTTTTTCTCGCCATCGATTTACTTAACATTTTAATGATTCTAATGATATATATAATATTTTAATGGTGTATTTTGTACTGTATTTTATAATCTGGTTTTTATGTATTTCTCTGTCCTATATGTGAAAGACCTATGGTCTAAGCATTAAACTATATACACACATATACATATATGGCTGGTGTTACACTTCAAAAATGTCCCTGTTCCAACTTACATACAAATTCAACTAAAGAACAAACCTGCTGACTCTCTCTTGTTTGTAACTTTGTAATGGATAAATATGATTATATGGTTTGAATGGAATTGTATAAAAGGAGTATGAATGGGGTCTAATTTGGCTGAACGCAAAATTCTAAAATTTTGAGTCCTGGAAAACAACTACACGTAGACGAGAACTGTGACAAAGGATTAACTGTTGAACTCTTGGTAGAAAACAACATGTTTACATTATTACTTATGTGTAAACCGCTTTGAGTCCCCCTCAGGTTGAGAAAAGAGGTAAACAAATACTGTAAATAAATAAATACGTCAGGGACAATGGCTCTTTAAGTTAAGGAAAAGTTTACAAGGTTCCTTACATTAAGAAGGAAACACAGTGTTCCTAAAGAAGAACAACCAGTATCAGCTAAAGAAGCAAAGTCAACATCTTCCAGGAACTGATGGAATTAAGCTGGAAAAACTTCTAGCATTGTTTTGGAAGTTGGTTTCTATTGTATTTGTGTTTTTGTATGTTTTAACTTTTGCATATGTTGTCTTATTTTATTTATTTATTTAGCATTTTATTTTTTAATTTTTGTTGATATTGGAGACAGCCAATGGGGAGCTCTGGCGTGGGCTGGTCCATGAGGCCACGAAAAGTCAGGAATGACTAAACAAATAAACAACAACAAAAATAACTTTGGGTCTGGCTGCAGAGAAAGGTGGGGTAGAAATAGCTTAAATAAAAATAAATAAAACTTTGGAACAACATCAGCAGAAATATTGCTATATAAAAGACCTTCTAATATTCCAAAATTGTAGCAGACTGGAAGAGTCTGGTCCACCCATCATGCTCTGCTCTATGAGGAGAGAGATGGTGTGTGTATTAGCAGAGTGATAAGTCTGCAATGGAAAACAGTGCCTGGTCACTGCTTACATGGTTTGGGTCCAAGTTACCTAAAGGATTGCCTTCTCCTGTGCAATCCGCCCTGAATACTGAGGTCTTCTGGGGGGCATCTGCTCCAACAAGCCAGATCGGGAGTGGCAACACCACCCAAAGGATCTTTTCATTGGCCACCCCACAACCGTGGAATGACCTTCCGGTAGAACGCTGACACCTAAATCAGCTGTCAGAATTTCAGACACAAGTGAATACCTGTCTATTCCGGCAGGCCTACCCAGATAGTCTTGAAATATAAACATGAATTTTAATGCATGTCCATTGTTTAATCTTGGTTTTGTCCATTTTAATATATATTTCATAAAGATGTGTTTTGGTGTGTAACTTTTATGAAGATACGTTTTATAGAGGTACAAATATGTGTGTACTTGTAGTGTTTTTGCTGTATTTATGTATTTTAATTGTTTTGTAACTCGCCATGAGGAGAGGCGGATAAGAAATAAAATTATTATTATTTGTCTGTCCTATATGTGAAAAACCTATGGTCTAAGCATTAAATAAACTATCTATGTAGCATGACCTTCTGCCTCTTCTGTGCCAAACTACAGTTCCCAGCATCTTGCTGCCTGCAGAAGCATCCTGAGGCGGAGCTGGTCAAACAGGGGGTTAAGGATCACCAAAGGGGTATTTCAATGAGTTCAATGTCCGGTTGTTTGTGGCCTACAACTCACAGAAGGCCTCGCCAGCTTCTTCAATGGTGAGGCATTCTGGGAGTTGGAGAAGGCCGGGAGGGAGGAAGGAAGTGCGCTTAAAAAAACTTCCCCTCCTCCACAACATTGTAATCTAATAATACTAATATATTATATACATTATATATACTACAAGTTATGAAATAGTACAATATATTATATAACACTACTAGTATAATTTACTGGTAGTATATTATACATACGTATTGTAATATTGTACAATATAATAATATTGAATAGTATTTCAGTATAATGTGTTATTATTTTTGACGTAGATGCCGATTTGTTTTTGGGATTGGGGGTTTGGTTAATTTTATCTTTGTTCAGCTTCTCACGGCATTGAATGTTTGCCGATATCTGTTGTAAACCACCTGAGTCCCCTCGGGGACATTGGGCGGGATAGAAATAAAGTTTTATTGGGTTGCTGTGAGTTTCCCAGGCTGCCTGGTCATGTTCCAGAAGCATTTCCTGATGTTTCGCCCACATATATGGCAAGCATCCTCAGAGGTTGAGGGGTCTGTTGGAAACGAGGCCAGTGGGGTTTATATATCTCTCTGTGGAGTAATGTCCAGGGTGGGAGAAAGAACTCTTGTCTGTTAGAGTCAAGTGTGAATATTGCAACTGGCCAGCTTGATTGAGCACTGAATGACCTTGCAGCTTCAAAGCCTGTTTTATTATTTATCAAAGTTTCATTATTAATTATATTGGGCTATACAAATTTTTATTTATTTATATATATATATATATATATATATATATATATATATATATATATATAATTTTGATAACATTGTAATATAATACATTATAATACTAATAATAATACAATATAATATAGAATAATATTGTAAGATAATAATAAAACTATTTTAAATACTAGCCGTCCCCTGCCATGCGTTGCTGTGGCCCAGTGTGGTGAATAAAATAAAGTAATGTGAAAGTGTGAGTTCCTAATATATGTAATTTCTTTATGCTTGTGGGTAAACACTATTTCTTGCTGTTTCTTTGTCAGTGTTCTCATTACTGCTCTGGAACATGCAACATATCATTGTCCTTCTTTAGGGATCCCTTTCAGATCTATGATACTATATCTTCCTGTGTGTGAATCAAATATATCTATCAATATCTATGGCTGGATGGCTCTCTGTAAGGAGGGCTTTGATTACTTTTTCTTGCCCTGGTGAAGGGAGTTGGACTGGATGGCCTTAAGTATTTTCTGTTGGTCATGGGGGTTCTGTGTGGGAAGATTTCCCCAATTCTGCCATTGGTGGGATGCAGAATGCTCTTTGATTGTAGGTGAACTATAAATCCCAGTAACTACAACTCCCAAATGTCAATGTCTATTTCCCCCAAACTCAATCTCTGTTCTTATTTGGGCACATGGAATATTCGTGCCAAGTTTGGTCCAGATCCATCATTATTTGAGTCCACAGTGCTCTCTGGATGGAGGTGAACTATAACTCCCAAACTCAAGGTCAATGCCCACCAAACCCTTCCAGTGTTTTCTGTTGGTCATGGGAGTCCTAGTTTGGCCCAATTTCATCATTGGTGGAGCTTACAATGCTCTTTGATTGTAGGCGAACTATAAATCCCAGCAACTACAACTCCCAAATGACAAAATCAATTTTTTTGAATGATGGTCACTCCTTGCTAGTAGGTATGTTGTGGCCAAATTTGGCAGCAATTTATCCAGTGGTTTTTGAGTTCTGTTAATCCCACAAACGAACATTACATTTTTATTTGTATAGATAGATAATACTACTGATAATATATAATCATATAGAATGATAATACTGTTTTATTATTGCATATGTTAATTTGTCATGTTTTTTTATTGTGAGCCGCTTGGAGTCTCCGTAGGGAGAGAGAAAAAGGGGTACAAATCAATCAACAAACGCCCAAGCCAGGCCTTTCTCAAGGAAACGCGCCCCCAAAGGCCCTGGAGCGAGGCCTGAGGCCTACCTTTGAAGAGATAGTCGTACTCATCGTCGCGGGAGCCCCCCATGGCGGCGGCTTCGAGGCCTTCTTCTGCTCCTCTTCTCGGCAGACACGGAAGCGACTCAGCCGGCCTCCTCCTTCTTCCTTATCCGGCCCTCCTCTCTCTCTCTCTCTGCCCAGGTCTCCTCCCACACGGATAGCGTTTCCGGCCTCAAACATCCGCTTGGTGGAGGGCACTTCCGGTTCCAGCCGCCATTCCTTGAGAGGGCACACTCCTCCGCCACAAACGGCTTCAATATGGCGGCCCCACTTCCGGTCCAGGGCGGAAGTAGGTCTAAAACAAACGAAGAAAGGAGATGAAGCTCAAAACGCCTCTAGCGGTGGCGAAGTACAGACCGGAAGTTACGTGTCTTAAAGGAGCCGCAGCATTTACCAATAAGAACATATAATACTATATCATAATATAATAATTGCATATAATATTACTAATCATACTGAAGTATGGTGGTATAGTACAATATAATACAAAAAAACAATATATTAATTGTATATTATATATTGCGTGTAATTTTACAGTGGTATAGTACAATATAATACAATATCACAATATATTAATTGTATATTATGTATTGCTATTATTTCAGTATAGTGGTATGGTAATATATTACAATATATTAACATATCGTAATATAATAATTGCATATTATATGTTTCATGTAATATTACTAATAATATTGTATTATAGTGGTATAGTACAATATCACAATATATTAATTGTATATTATGTATTGCTATTATTTCGGTATAGTGGTATGGTACAATATATTAATATATCGTAATATAATAATTGTATATTATGTATTTTATGTAATATTCCTAACAATATTGTATTATAGTGGTATAGTACAATATAATATATAACACTAATATGGTGCTATGCTAATAATATTATATATATATATACACACACACACACATATAATATAGATAATAATATAATGTAATACTAATAGTAATATGAAATAATAGCAATATAAATATAATAAATACTAATATAGATAGATAGATATAATTTTGTAATATATTATTTACTACAACTTATGATATAGTACAATATATTATATAATACGAATAGTATAATATACTGGTAGTGTATTGTGTATTATTATATTGTAATAATATAGTACAATATAATAATAATAATAATAATAATATTGTATTTTGGGTTGTTGTAGGTTTTTTTGGGCTATATGGCCATGTTCTAGAGGCATTCTTTCCTGACGTTTCGCCTGCATCTATGGCAAGCATCCTTAGAGGTAGTGAGGTATCCTCACCTCACTACCTCTGAGGATGCTTGCCATAGATGCAGGCAAAATGTCAGGAGAGAATGCCTCTAGAACAGTGGTTCTCAACCTTCCTAATGCCTCCACCCCTTAATACAATTCCTCATGTTGTGGTGACCCCCCAACCATAAAATTATTTTTGTTGCTACTGTTAGGAATCAAAATGTAAATATCCGATATGCAGGATGTATTTTCATTCACTGGATCAAATTTGGCACAAATTCCTGATATGCCCAAATTTGAATACTGGTGGGGTTGGGGGGATTTGAGTCCCCCCAGAATGAGAAATGCAATAGATAAATACAGTAAATAAATAATATAATATAATATATTGCATGTAATATTACTAATAATATTGCACTATAGTGGTATAGTAAAATATTATAATATAATACTAATATTGTGCTATGCTAATAATATAATATGTACATAAAGGTAAAGGTAAAGGTAGTCCCCTGACATTAAGTCCAGTCATGTCTGACTCTGGGGTGTGGTGCTCATCTCCATTTCTAAGCCGAAGAGCCAGCGTTGTCCGTAGACACCTCCAAGGTCATGTGGCCGGCATGACTGCATGGAGCGCCGTTACCTTCCCACTGGAGCGGCACCTATTCATCTACTCACATTTGCATGTTTTCAAACTGCTAGGTTGGCAGAAGCTAGGGCTGACAGCGGAAGCTCACGCTGCTCCCCGGAATCGAACCTGCGACCTTTCGATCAACAAGCTCTGCAGCTCAGTGCTTTAACCCACTGTGCCACCGGGTGTGATATTATAATATAATACAATATAATAATAATCATACAATATAATAATAATATAATAATATCAGATAATAATACTAATATATTAAATATAATACTACTGATAATATGTATAATCATATATAATGATAATACTGTTTTATTGTTGTATATTTTAAATTATAACGTTTTTGATTGTGAGCCACTTTGTGTCACAGTATGGAGAAATAAAGTGGAATATAAATTGATCAGTCATGTCAATGCACCTTACCAGTATGACAATGTCTCCGAACAATTTCCAATAAGGAAATGCCAATGCACCTTTACCAATAAGGAAATGCCTCTGAGCATGGACAGAGTAGGAATTTTGCAAATCACTTGTTTTCTTCCAACTGGAGTCTCTTTCTTGGTATATGGATTTATATGAATTAGTTGCAGGCCTAACTTGGGAAGGTTACTTTGGAAGGTGTCCATTCAATGTGCTGACTAGATTAGACCCATGAGATTATGTGTTTATTAATATTTTGTTAATTTATATCCTGCTTTTTCTCTCCATACGGAGACTCAAAACGGCTCACAAGTAAAAGCATTCCAATAGTACCTAAAATATACAAATATGAAAATAGTATTAAACATTAATATTGAAACAATCCAGGGATGTAAATTAATCAACACTTGGGCGAGGGCAACTGGTGCAATAGGTCTAGTCCAGCGATTCTCAACCTGGGGGTCGGGGCCCCTGGGGGGGGGCACAAGGGGGTGTCAGAGGGGTCGCCGAAGACCATCAGAAAACACAGTATTTTCTGTTGGTCATGGGGGAAGTTTGGCCCAATTCTACCATTGGTGGGGTTCAGAGTACTCTTTGATTGTAGGTGAACTATAAATCCCAGCAGCTACAACTCCCAAATGTCAACTCTATTTCCCCCAAATTCCACCAGGGTTGACATGTGGGCATATTGAGTGTTTGTGCCAAGTTTGGTCCAGATCCATCATTGTTTGATTCCACAGTGCTCTCTGGATGTAGGTGAACTACAACTCCCAAACAAGGTCAATGTCCACTAAACCCTTCCAGTATTTTCTGTTGGGCATGGGAGCTCTGTATGTCATGCTAGGTTCAACTCCATTGTTACTGAAGTTCAGAATGCTCTTTGATTGTAGGTGAACAATAAATCCCAGCAACTACAACTCCCACATGTCAACTCTATTTCCCCCAAATTTCACCAGTGTTGACATGTGGGCATAGTTTGGTCCAGATCCATCATTGTTTGATTCCACAGTGCTCCCTGGATGTAGGTGAACTACAACTCCCAAACTCAAGGTCAGTGTCCACTAAACCCTTCCAGTATTTTCTGTTGGGCATGGGAGCTGTGTGTGCCAGGTTTGGTTCAATTCCATCGCTGGAATGCTCTTTGATTGTAGGTGAACTATAAATCCCAAATGTCAAAATCAATCCCCCTCCGACCCCACCACTAGCAACAAAAATAATTTCATGTTTGGAGGGTCAACACAGCATGAGGAACTGTATTAAAGCGTTGCAGCATTAGGAAGGTTGAGAACCACTGGTCTAGTCTATTTGAAGGACTAACTGCTGGGTTTAGGCTTTAGATGAAATGCCTCAAAGGCATCAGAACCCTTTTGACTTGGGAAGCTAAACTGGTTAAGATTTGGAGCTGCAGTGTTTCTTTGCAATATGCAGAAGCAAAGACTTTAAAATGAAAATGCATTCTATTGTACAGTCTTTGCTCCCGGCTTGGAAGGAGGAGCCAGTGAAGAAGGGAAAGCTGCTACATCGTGGATGCTTTTTAGGGGGAGCTCTAGCTGCATTTTTCCAAGGCGGTTCCATGGTGTAATGGTTAGCACTCTGGACTCTGAATCCAGCGATCCGAGTTCAAATCTCGGTGGAACCTACAAATGCCTTTGTATTTTTCCTCCTCTGAAATAACATTTTGTGTGCACACAAAGATCAGCACTGGGGAAAAGTGACAGCTTCACAATTGCTTTCCTTATTTCCTACAATTATGTTACAAGACAAAAAAAATACTCTTAGTAAACTTTTAAGGCTCAGGTCCACGCATACTCAAGTATCTCTAAGGGAACTGCTTCCAAATAAACTATACATGGAATCAGAATATGGAAAATCTGAAACAGAGTTTTGATAATAGAGTCCATGGTTTGCTGGATCTTTCTGACTTTTCTTTCTTTCTTTCTTTCTTTCTTTCATATCTTGAGAAATTCCTGGACAGATGGACACGGCTCAGGTTTGCAATAGTCACAACTGGAATAGTGGTCCAAAGGCAATTTAGAATTGTAGAACCGTGGAGCTGAAAGGTACCCAAGGGTCATCTAGTCCAGCCCTGTACCATGCAGGGAATTACACAACTATGGCACATATGAAAGATGCTCATGCAAATTCTGTTTAAAGACTAAAAAGGAGAGTCCGCCACCTTTCAATATATTATCAGATAGTTCTGACAGTCTCTAGACCAGCGTTTCTCAACTTGGGGGTCGGTACCCCTGGGGATTCGCGAGAGGGTGTCAGAGGGCCCGCCAAAGACCATTGGAAAACAGTATTTTCTATTGGTCATGGGGATTCTGTGTGGGAAGTTTGACCCAATTCTATCGTTGGTGGGGTTCAGAATGCTCTTTTATTGTAGGTGAACTATAAATCCCAGTAACTACAACTACAAGGTCAAGGTCTATTATCCCCAAACTCCACCAGTGTTCACATTTGGGCATATTGAGTATTTGTACCAAGTTTGGTCCAGATCCATCATTGTTTTTAGTCTGCAGTGCTCTCTGGATGTAGGTGAACTACAACTCTAAAATGCAAGGTCAATGCCCACCAAACCCTTCCAATATTTTCTGTTGGTCATGGGAGTTCTGTGTGCCAAGTTTGGTTCCATTCCATAGTTAGTGGGGTTCAGAATGCTCTTTGAGTGTAGGTGAACTATAAATCCCAGCAACTACAATTCCCAAATGACAAAATCGATCCCCCCACAACCCCACCAGTATTCAATTTGGGCATATCGGGTATTTGTGCCAAATTTGCTCCAGTCAATTAAAAGACATCCTGCATATCAGATACTTACATGACAATTCATAACAGTAACAAAATTACAGTTAGGAAGTAGCAACGAAAATTT